TTAGGTGTCTTTATAAAATAAATAGTAGAAAAATGAAAATAAAAAATGAAATAAATAAGGAAATTTTAAAAAATCATAATATTTGAAAGATATTACAAATGTATCAGTTTAAATAATTTTTCTTTTATTTTAAAATTTTGTCTGTTTGATTATAATTTATTGAATTTATAAGTTTATAAGTTTAAAATTGATTTTTTTTTAGCAAAAAAGAAAGTTTTATTTTTAATAAGATACTATTTTCCAGAATTATTGAAAAGTTATATATATATTGGAGATAATTTATATTTGTTTCAATTAGCAAAAATTTTATTTATTATATTTCAATTGTTTTTATCGCTAGATACTAATAAACATTTTTGAATTAATCAATTCAATATAATAATAATTCAATCAAATAATGAAATAATAAATCAATTAATAAATAATCAAATAAATTTAGAATTAAATAATATTAAACAACTTTATTATTATGTAATTTTAATAATGAATTTTTATAATTTTGATAATGAAAATAGAATTAATATTTTTTATATAACTTATTATTATAATTCTAAAAATTAATATAATTCTAAAATTAATTATTATAATTCTAAAATTTCAGATTTTTATAAAAAACATACAGATAAAAAAATATAAATTTTAAAATTTGAAAAAAATTTCCAAATTTTTTAGTTTTCCTTGATGCATCTGTTAAATACTTATTTTATGAAATGATTATTTTATAAAAATGAATATTTTATATATTTTATATATTTCAAAACAAATAAAAAGATCTCTAATAGTATGTACAAAATATAATAAACAAAATATTTGTTTCAGTGTATTAATTTTAAAATTTTTTAATATTTAATTTTTTAATTATTTAAATTTATTGAAAAATAATATTTTCTTTAATAATACGGGGATTGACAAACAAAATTTTTCTAAAAAAAATATTTAAAGTTATTAAAATTGACAAAAATTAAAATTTTTTATTTTTTGCACTTAAAGATATCTCGGGGATCATTTATTAATAACTTAATTGTATTTTTCTACAAAATAAATAAAAACGAATCGATTCATGTTAAATATTATAAAGTTGAAATCTATTACTTTATTATAATGATATTTAGCTTATAATAAAATTTTAGATAAAAAAAATTTATTTATAACAAAAAATTTTGTATCTAATCTTTTTCTAACATGAGATAATGTGAGAAACAGACATACAATTCAACATATGTAATAAACCATTGAAAAATGTATGTTATGTAGTAATTTATTTGAATTTTTTATCTTTTTTATTTGAGTAAATAAAAAATCTCATTTTTTTTCTCTCACATTAATCCTGTTATATATCTTATTATCCTGTTAATTATATATATAAAAATACTCAAAGATTTAAAATAATATCCTATATAATATTCTACATAAAAGTTCAATTTTCTTATTATAATAATAATATTTTAATATTACATATTAATATAAACATATTT